TGCCCAAGGCAGTCCACATGGTCAGCGGCAGTTCCGAGGGAGGCTGCCCCTGACCGCCTCCCATACTATGATGTTTCTCTTCCGTGTCCTTAAAGGCAGGGGTCAGGCCAAGTCTGTCTGTGACAAAGCATAAAGGGAAAGACATTTTTGATTAACAATATTTATGGGAAGATGCCATTTTTGTGTGTTTCTCTGTGCAAGAAATGCCATTTGGAAAGCCGGTGTGCATGTCAGTATTTTTTTTTTTTTCATTCTGAGAAAAAGCCTATAGAGTCTGGTTGGGGGAGGGTTTGCAGCTGGCAGGAGCTTTGGCATATGTTGTAACTAAAAAGAGAGGGAATGTGTTGGTGGGACAAGCTACCGGAGAGCTGTCTCGGTGTGCTGCGGTACTAGTAAGCGTTTTAATTGGGTAGGATTTTTGGAGGACTATTTTGACATCTGCTCATGTCTTTGCTGATTTTTCTTCACTTAGAGTAGGAAACACAAGCTGTGGATAAAATGACTTTAAAATAATTGGAAGTAAAGATAATCTCTCTCGAAGTCGAATTTGAGAGGGACACTTTTTAAGAAGTGAAAAGTAAATTCCACTTCTAGGAATCCATCCTAAAGCACAAAGCTTTTTGCCTATAGATTTCATGAAAATAGTGTATATAATAATTTCTTAAAAGCTGGAAATAACAGGCAACAAAAGGGGTTTGGTTGGGTTGGTTTCCATGAAGTGGAACATTTTTTAGCAATTAGTAATGGTCTTTACAAAGCTGTTAATGAAGTGGGGCATTACTTATGTTGTAGTAAATGAGAAAATCAGAAAGAAACATTAAGAATTGTTTCAACTGTGTTTTAAAAAGTAGGGATTGAGGCAAAGGGATATGGAAGAAAATATACCAAAATGTTATCTCCAAATGGAGGGATTCAGGTAACTGTAATTTTCTTCTTTGAACTTTTCTGTCTTTCCCATTTTTTTTTTTACAGGAAGCCTATGTAATTTCTATGATACAAAAAGCAAGTCGTATTTTGTGTAAGAGACAGCAGGCCCTGAGAGCCGTCATGTAACTGTGTGCACCACACACGTGCTTGTTCTGAAGTCTGAGCCATTGGATTTGGGACATCTTCAGAAAGAGTGAGGCTTTCAAGTTAGACTGGGTTCAAAAGTCAGCTCTGCCACTCACTAGCTGTGTGATTTGGGGCAGTTTACTTGACATCTCTGAGCCTCATTTCCTCATCCTTCCCCTGGAGATGCCGGTGTCTCCTTCCTTGCGTGGTCACAGGTGAATGAGCCGGCACCCAGTAATGGTCCGGCTTTCTTCTCCACCAGCGCTTCCCACCACCACCCCCAGTTTCAGGGTTTTTTGTGGGTTTTCGTTTTTGTTTTTTGTTTTTTTTTGCCTTTCTTCATTGCCCTTGTTTCCTTGAGCCTTTCAGGGATAAGGCACCATCCGGCCAAGCTGGCCCTCGATTCTTTCCTTGGGAACACTGAGCTTCAGGAAGGCCCTTGAGTCTACGCCAGCCCCTTTGGAAGAGGCCTTGCCACCGGGAGGGCAGCATTGTCCTCTAAGAGGAAACTGTGCGACCCAGCTCCTGCCTGGAGCCTGGTGCTCGGGCGTTTGGGTTACTAAGGGGACCCTGGCCTGCTAAGTCAGGAAAAAGGGCCGGGTTTTTTCCTCTTCTTCAGCCTGCTTCCATTGTTGAAAAAGTAAACACTCCACACAGCTTAACCAGCAAGTCCTCCAGCCAGGAGTGGGAAGAAATCAAAAGCCTGTTCCAGCCCAGCCGTGGAGAGCCCACAAGGGCTGGTCTGTGCTGCTGGGGCCCCACTGGGCACACAGAAACAACTCCCGATTCTGGTCCAGAATCAACATCCCACTCCCTGGGCCTTTCAGCCCCTGAGGCCTCTCTCCAATGGCTGGGCACCCTGCCCCCTTGTGTTTGGAGGGTCAGATGAGGCAAAATAGACGATGCTGGGGTGCAGCAGCCCTCAGCTCAGTCCTCGAGGCCTGGAGTCCTGGGGTTGTGGAGCGCCTCGTGGCCCCGTCTCCAATATCATTTTTGGTGTCTCAGCCTTTGAAGTGAGAGCCCAGCAGTTACCAAGAAGGGGCCAGATGATTTTTGCCCTTAGGCCATTGCCACTACAGCTTTCAGACTGGCCGTGGCTGCTGTGTGTGTTGTAAAAGTGATAATAATAGCTACTACTTATAAGTCCTACTATATGCCCAGCACTGTGCACATATTACCTCTAATCCTCACAGCAGCCCAGGGGGCGGTGAGGTAAGGAGGACAGTCACAATTATCTTCTCACAGATGAAGAAGCCAATTGGTATCCACATAACCTTGGACAAGCCACTTCACCTCTCTGAGCCTCAGTTTCTCATCTCTGAAATGGGAATGGTGACACCTCACCTCCAGCTACACTGTTGAAAATGAAAGAATCTGTGTGAAATTGCTGTGTAAGCTCTGAAGTGTGATATAAGTGAAAAAGATTGTTGTTGAGGCTATTTTTGTAACTTCCTGTGAGCACACTGCTAAGTATTTAACCTGTTGGATTGAAACATGAGGCGGTTAAGGAGCTCTGGACAATTCACCATGAGTCTTAATGTTCTCATCTGTAAAAAGAGGATTGTGCTTTGTAAAACAAGTGCGTAAAACACTGGTGATCTGTATTATTATCAATACTGTTTGCTGATAGGTTTTTTAAATAAGGCAGTCAGTTAATGTGTGTTGGGGTTTGGAGGGGAGAATAAAGTTCTAAGGAGGTATTTAGTCCCTCCTCTGCGGCTTTCAGCCCATAGTACACACTTAGGAAATGTTCACGCATTGATTGATAGGTTTGTGGACTAGCCCCCGGTGGCCTGGAGAAGCCAATAGCAGAAGGAGTTTGAGGCGTCTGGTCTTGTTAAGTGGAAGGGTTCCAGGATTCAGCTTGGGAGTGTTTCTTCAGCCCTAGAAGGATTCTGACCAGCATGGCTCTACTCTCCTGCTGGGAAGAATCTCGAAATGTTTACTTAGGTACCAAGTTCTGTGCTAGAGGCTGGGATTTGAGAGAGCAAACATCAATCGGTATTAATGAGCACTTACCAAGGGCCAGTCATTTTGTTGAGTGCTGGTTATTACACAGTAGTGAGCCAAGTAGAGGGGCCTCTGATGGAGCCCACACCCCAACCAGGGAAGCAGGCAGGCAAAGGGGTGCTGAAGCTCAGAGTGACAAGGACTGTGCAGAGGTCAGGCTCACTGAGGGTGTCTGCTGATGAGGAGGCTGATGGCGCAGTGCAAAGAGCATGGGCTGTGGAGGCGGCGGGTGCTATGTTACCTCTGCCCCTTACCTCACCTCTCTGAACCTCATTTTCCTCAGGTTACATAAAATGAGGGTACTAATGTGCGCTTTGCAGAGTGTGATAAGAATTAAATGTGATAAAGTAAGTAAAGCATAGAGCAAACACTAGTAGGCTTCTAGTACATTGTAATTGTCCATTTCCAGGGCATTAGCAAACTTAGGCTTTAGCAGCCGTCGGGATGTCCAGCTCCATTACTAGCCTATACAGTGTTCCTGGGTGAATTAGGAAAAGGCATCTCCTCCCTCTCGCCACTCACTCCCACCTCTGACTGATGGCACTCAGCAGGCATATGAGTGGGCACATTTCAGCCCCGACTTGACTGTCCTGGCATCCTTGGGCAGGGCACACCTACACAGTCATATGCAGTGGCTCAGAGGGTAGCTAATAATAAAATCATTCCCTTACATATACGGTCACCATATGTCCCATTTAATGCCTCTTGCCCTGTCATAATCTGCTCCTTTTCACATCCACGACTGTCCCAGTTTGGACAGCAAATTATAGGATTTTTCTACTTAACCAGGGCAAAATGAAATAAAGACAACAGTTCTGAAGTTCTAGACTCTAGAGGAATGAGCTTTAGTATATGATGGGGTAACGAGATTGAATGAGATTGAGAGTGGCGGGGAGGCAAGACAAAATGGGGATGGATTCTAGCAGTCGGTAAATCGTGTGATTAAAAGTTAAAAACTCAGGTCACATACAACCTTGTACTTCCATAGACTATGGAGAGTTGCTCCCAGATGGTGGGCTCTTCTTCTTCTTTTTTTTTCTTTTCCTCTTTTCTCCCCAAAGCCCCAGTAGATAGTTGTATGTCATAGTGGCACATCCCTCTAGTTGCTGTATGTGGGACGCTGCCTCAGCGTGGCCGGACAAGTGGTGCCTCGGTTCGCGCCCGGGACCCGAACCCAGGCCGCCAGTAGCAGAGCATGCGCACTCAACCACAAAGCCACGGGGCCGGCCCCTGGTGGGCTCTTCTTTTCTCCACATTGTGCCTCTCTCCCTTCCTCCTCTCACCAAACATGAATACCTAGTAGGCACAAGTCTCCCTTACTCTATTACCATACTAATAGAATAATGGCTGTGGCCAGAGCCTCTGAGCCACGATTCACTAGCTGGATTTCTGTGGATAATGGAACCAAATTGAAAGTGTGACCATCTTACTTAATGTTTAAGAGAAATGTTAACATGTTATCACTAGGCCATATACCATATTCCATACCCAAGAATGAAAAGATCCAAAAGAGAGCTGAGCAAGTAGCCTTCAGTAAATAGGAGGAATGGATTGAATGTGAGTGTCATAAGAGCCTAGCTGTATATCAGAGTTCCTAGGGCCAGAGCTTTAGACCTCTGCTTCTATATGTTTTTCTAATTGTAAAGTATAGGAAAAAAATAATGTTGGGGTATAAAGATCTCTCTTCCTAGCTCTGAGACCTGGGGCATGTTGACTTAGTCTCTGAGAAACCCTTTCCACTCTTGGGGCTTGGGGATGGCTGCACGAGCTTGCAGAGTTTTTATGACAGTTAAATAGCCTAACAAATGTGCATCACCTAGCATTGAGCCTGCCACAGAGTAAGCCTTTGTCAAAGGTCACTTTTCTTCCTTCTTCTCCTTCCCCGGAGAAGGCCAGGGGAAATATCTGATTTTCTCTTCTGGATTTTTTCCCTGCAGAAAGTCAGAAACATGGCCCTGGATGATGTCGTGATCCTGAACGTGGACACCAACACCCTGGAAACCCCCTTTGACGACCTCCAGAGCCTCCCAAATGACGTGGTGGGTAATGAGCTCTTGAGGTTCTGATTCCTGTGAGCTCATGTGGTGGAAATGAATGTGACTTTGGGGAGAGGATGGGAGGGGGGACAGCTGTGGTTTTCCTGTGACATAAGAACTGCATTTGTTTCTCTGCTCCCTCTGGAACCTTTGTCTCAGTGTAGAAAGTTGGGAGGTGGTTCATTTTTTCAGCCTTGTTTTGTTCTCATAACTTTCATCTGAAAGACTGTGTGGTGATCCCAGGATCTAAACAGCTCCTCTTTCTGTGGGAGCCAGGGGTCTTGCCGTGCCTCTCTAGCACATCGCCATGTCCAGAGAAAGTACAGCTTCCCCTGAGTAACCCCACAGAAGATAGGTGGAAGGCTTTCAGTGTAAGCAATTTGGGACACTTCAGACTTACATTTTTTTCCTGGACCGTCATCAAACACTGCCGTTTCCCACGTAGCAGGGTATCTTCTGCCAGTGCTCTGTATGTGGCTCCATGTCCGCTAAATCTTTCTTTGTTACCTCAGGTCTGGACAGAATGTGGGCTCTAGTTAGCAAAAGCAACTGGCTGCCACATTTGCCAGGCTGACATCTGACCACACACCTGTCTCACGTTGCTGCAGAGCTGCCTCATAGGCGGCCATTTGAAGTAGACCCAGTCTCCCCCCATTGTCCATACAAATGAAGAGGACTGAGGTTCGCTGGGAAGTATGGTTTTGATGTTTTTGATTTGACTTCCATGGTTCTGCCTGCTAGAAGATCTATAAAGTTATTCTGGCTTCCAGACTGAAAGGAGTGGACGTTCTGGCCATGTATGCTGGGGTGGGGCTGGGTTTGTGTCATGGCAGGTGGGCACTGCCACTCCATTACTGCCAGGAGTCCCGGTGGCGCTTGGAGATTAGCTGTTAGGAAGAGATTGCTGTTTGTTGATGAATGGCTTGCAGCAGGGTTTCAAACTCCTCTACTCTTAACTCACTGTGAGATTTTGGGGGAGCCATTTGTGCTCTGTAAAGATGCTCCATTTGTAGCATAATTAACCAATGGCTACTGTTCATTGACTTATTACGTGCTAAGCACGTGTCATTGACCTCTCATTTCCTCTTCACACCACTCTGGGGAAGGTATTTTTCTTATCCCCACTTTACCCACAGAACTAGAAAGAGGGGGAGCCAAGAAGTGAACACAACTCTGTCCCTCCAGAGAGCCACCCAGCCCCACTGCCTCTCTAGGTGCCTTCTGCATTCAGAATCTCATTCAGTTAGCATCATAGCCCCATGGAGTAGGCATTCTCTCCTTTTCACAGGGAGAGAACTCAGAGAGCACGTGCCTTGCCACAGATCATACAGCTGGCTGGGTCAGAGCTGACATTGGAACCCGAGTCTGGATGACACCAAAGCCCGTGCTGCCTCCACTCAATGTACACTGCCCCCCTCTGAGGCAGAGAGAGATGACAGAAGTAGGAAAAATAAAAGTACCAGACACTAAGGTTTGCTGTTCATCATGTCAGGACAGGGGACGTGCTTGGTATCTTAGGGCCTTCTGGCCATAATTTGAGTTCTTTTGGGCCAAGGAATCTGAGGTTTCCACTCCCCTTTTAGTGGAAAAGCTCTCCCTTCAAGCCTTGAGTGTCTTAGGTATGGACCTTTCAGCTTCTGAGTGAATGTGGTAAGCGAGCCTGAGGTGTATCAGGTGCAAGGATTGGCCAGGGACCCTGGGGCAGCCCGGGATGAGTGACTGGTGGCTCAGAAACTGTGGAGGGGACTGACTGGTCCCATCTGCAGTGCTCTGACCCAGGGCTGGGCATTGACTAGCGAAGATGAAGCAGATCTAGTCCTTTCCTTCAAAGAGCATGTTCCAATAGAGGAAACAGAGATATAAATTACATGTATCTTGTGGTATAGCATAATGGGGGCCACAAAGGAAATAGGAATGAGACACAGAAGGGCCCAGGAGTGACAGAATTTGGGGGAGGGTAATGAAGGCTCCCTGAAGATGGCATATTCCAAGATGCCTTTTAAATCATCAATGAGGTGGCCTCAGGGAACCAAAGTAACTTGAGCAAGTTATTGTCCCTCTCTGAGCCTCGGTTTCTTATCCTTAAAAGAGGAGTCCTAGGCCTATTATTAGCATTGTTGTGGCAAATAAATGAGATGGTAGTTGTCGTGGAATTCTTGGCACCATGCCCACATGTTGTCAGTGATCAATAATGGTACCTGCACTTGTTTTTTTTTTTTAAACTTGTTTTTATTTATTTATTTTATTTTGTGAGAAAGATCAGCCCTGAGCTAATATCGATGCCAATCCTCCTCTCTTTTTGCTGAGGAAGACTGGCCCTGGGCTAACATCCATGCCCATCTTCCTCCACTTTGTGTGGAACGCCGCCACAGCATAGCCTGACAAGCGGTACATCGGTGTGCGCCCAGGATCCAAACCCAGGCCGCCAGCAGCGGGGCACGCACACTTAACCGCTACGCCACGGGGCCGGCCCCTACATTTGTTTTTAATAAAATTGTTGTTAGTAATTACAGCCAGAGTTAGAGGACAGTTAGTTCCCTCCATATCCTAACAGTCCTCAGCCTGCACGAAATGGACCTCCTATTTGCAAGCTGGTTTGTAGCAGGGTTGAGAAGGTTCTACAGCAGTGGTTTCCAGAATGGGGCTCTACACTCATCAGAGATTCCAGATAGTAATGGAGAGAGAATGTGGTCCATAAGGTAGTTATATTGTGTTTCATTGGGATTGATAGATTTGATTCTGTAAGGCTATGTGAGCTATCAAGTCCTTAAGAAGAGAAATCACGTCCTGCGCATCTTCGTGTCCCTGCATTTGGCACAGGACCAGGTACTTTTAGTGTATCAGCATGTCCACGGTTGACCTCACAATCTCCCATTTTGCCAAAGCTGGTTGTCTTCTGCACCTGCCAGATTCTGCTTCTTAAACATTTCTCAAATCCTCTTCTCCATCTCTCCTAGACATCACCTAATCCAAGCTCTTATTTCTCTCCTGCACTACTACCGGCAGCCTCTGAACCGGTTCTTCAGACTCCAGCCCTCCTTCCTCATTTCTAAAACACACATTTAACTGTATTTCCATCCTACTTAAAAGCATTCCGTCAATGAACATAATTAAAAAAGAAAAAAAAATTTCTAAAGACAAAAAATTCCTTCCATAACTTCCTAGTGCCTATAGATTAGAGGCAAGTTCCTTTTATTGGCTTTGGAATCAGACAAACCTGTGTTTACATCCTGTTTCTTTGCTTACTAATCGTGATCTTAGGCAAAATTACATAAGCACACTGAGCCTTAGTTTCCTCATAAGGTTATTGTGAGAATTAAATGTAATGTATATAATATATGTAAAACATATATCCTATGAGTGCTATAGATGGTAGTTAATGATGATGAATTATGGATGTGAATGTTGATTAGCATGGCAGTCAAGGCTCTCCTTCATGATATGATCCTCCCATTTTTTTCCCATAACTTTAGCTCTCCTCTCCCTGCTTCAAACCCTGTATTAGAGGTGTCTGGAACTGTTAGTAGTTCTCCCAAGCTTATGTGTTGTTTCATAACTTCATACTTTGCACACAGAGTTTCTTTTGTCCCAAATGTCCTGCCGCAGCTGTCAATCTCTTACTTACTCTTCAAGACCCACTCTAAACGTTAGGCTGTAAAAACCTTCCCTGACCTCTCCAAGTAGATTTGACCATATCTTTCTCTTTGTCTTCATAGCTGCTTGTATTGCTTATCATCCAGCTGTATAATTTATTATACATTTCTGGCTTTCCCTTTTAATTGTGAGTTCTTTGAGGGCAGGGATCAAGTTTTATTCATCTTTGTTTCCTAGGAATCTAGCAGCCAGTGAATAGATAGGTGGAAGGATGGAAGCGATATATGGGTTGGGTTATTTTGGTAGATGAAATCTTGCAAAACATGGCGTCCGTGCAGGAAATTTTATTACAAGAGGCCTTTGTTCTGCTTCTAGCCATAGTGGAATAATTGGAACTGGATTTCTCCTCCCACCGTTAACAACTGAAACTATGGACAAATATGAAAACAAGTGTTTTCACATATTGGACAATAGGCAGTGCAGGACTATGATCCCTGAGAGAAAGGGAGCCAAGTGAGGTGAGGCCTATGATCCCCCTGGTTTTCTGCCTTGAGGCATTTTCTGGCCCCTGGTGCGTGGAGGGGGAATGCAGCAAAGCACAACAGTCTTGCTGAGTTGAGGGGTTAGAGATCTGAGTTTGAGGGAGAAGTGGTTTAAATTTGTGAGTCAGAGTACCAGACAGGAGGGAACTACTCAGCAAAAGAGCTCCAGAAATCTGAATTGGGTCCTCTTGACTAATCTGCTGAAGATTGATCTGCCCCATCTGTGTGGGGTGGAGCTCACACAGACTAGGAATCGTTCAAGCTCTGACCAGTGAGAGTAAGGAGATCTTGTTGATCACTCAGGATAGTCATATAGACCTCAGGTGGCCATGCTTTGGTGTAGTGGTCTAAATTAGCTCTAGCGTAAAGGTGATTTTAGCCCTGCCCTAACAAAGCTTAAAACCAAGCCTTGAGCATAAGAGAGGGCCTCAGATATGCTGGTAATATACTGGGTTTTTGTCTGAGTGCTGGTTACATGGGCAAGAATTCATCAAGCCATCCACAAATGATATGTGTACTTTTATGTAAGCATGTTAAACTTCAGTAAAAAGTTTTAAACAAAACCATTTCTTTAAAAAAAAAAAAAGCCTTATCAGCATCAACCTGATATGCAAAAAATTTAACCTCCTGTCAAAATAAACTTCAACCCTTTTTGAAAGAAGACAACAAAATCCAACTCTCAACAACGTGACAGTCACAGTATCTAGCATCCTATCAAAAAAGTACTAGACATGTTGAGAATCAGGACAAATGTAACCAAGAGAAAAATTAGTCAATAGAAACAAACTCAGAAATGACAGGAGAGAGAAGTCAAGATGGCAGCATAGGCAGACTCAACTCACCTCCTCCCACAGACACAGCCAATTT